CATTCTCAATCCCATGTTTTAACGATTCCATACAAGTGGCAACCGCACAACCTAAGTTGCAACCTCGAAAACTCGATCCTAATTCCTGAATTCACCGTGTCCTCAAGTTTGAAACCCACTCTCTTAGCCCTGTAAACCTAATCGTTCCCAAAAACCCATCACACATAGGCGTGCAAGCATACAATTTCCCCGTGGAATACCTTCTCTATAGGACCACGGTTCTTCTCTTGACTCGTTAACCCTGCAATGATTTCCAAGCTTCGGGGACGAAGCTTCTCGTAAGGGGGGGAGAGTGTAACACCCCGTGTTACGGCCTTCAATCCCGGATTAATTATTTAATTAATCCCGTTAATAATAATTAAATATGATTTAATTCGGTTAGGTTTCCCTTTAATTAATTAATAAGGCCCACCATGAACCGTGGGCCCTTGCCTAAATTAGAGCCTTAAACCTATTAGGAATAAAGAAAGTAAACCTTTTACTATTCAGATTCTGATTAGGAATCCTAGACCTAGTTATCTATTAGGAATAAAGGAAGTAGGTCTTTTACTATTCAGATTATGATTAGGATTCTCTTTAATTAATTAATATGGTCCACTATGGACCATGGAACCCAATCCTTAGTCCCAAAAGGAATAGAAGTAGCAAGCCTATAATATTAGTTCCTAATTAGGACTCCTAAATATATAAATAGGGGACTTAAGAGGCACCTAGAACCCCCCACCACAATAAACGACTCACCATCCCAAAAGAGCTCCAAGAATTCCCTTAGAAGAAATCAAGAAAGCAAGAAAGCTTAAAGAAAGACCCTTCATAGCCAAGGAATTAATTAAGGCTAAGAGGTAACCCATGTCTCAACAAAACCTATTTTCATAGCTATGATTTCGCCCTTAGGGTTTCCCCATATTATTGTGTATTAATGACTTGTGATAATTATTGTTGATGATTGATGTGATGATCCCATGGGGGATCTTGATAATCTTGATATTGAGAGATTCTTGATAATTATGATATTCTTGATGATTATATGGAGTTCCTGATGATCATGTGTTGTTCTTGATAATTGGGTGATGATCTTGATGATTATGTGTTATTCTTACCGAATCCTGTAATTAGAAGACGAACCGTATTCTTGTTGATATAAAAGTGATTAGAACCCTAGGTTGTATCGTATGATCTTATTCTTGGATTATCGGGTGGGGAAATCGCATGTTTGGGTGTTGATTATACTTAGAAAAGCATGATAGGTTATGTGCCGTTCATTCCTCGTATTTGATTCGTTAACTGTCTACGGGTTGTCGTTAATTGTGTTGTAAAGTGTCTAAGCATGGTTTCGGGTTCCATAACGGTTCCCGGGGCGTAAAGTGTGTGAAAAGAGTCAGTGGGGGGTAGGTGGGGGGGTAGGGGACCCGCCACCTACCCATAGCCGTAAACCACCGCCTGGCAGCGGGTGGCCGGCGGGCGGGCAGCTGCCCGCCGGCGACCTGCTGCCCGGAACAGTAGAAACCGGCAGGCAACCGGCGGGTGGCCCACCACCCACCGGCTACCCGCTGGAAAATCGTCCCACCCGGGACCCCGGCTTCCCCGTTTGATGTTCCCCCGTTCCCCGTGGTGTCCCAACGGACTCCGTTTATCGTGCCTATGTCTAGTTTGATGTTTCGGGTACCGTTCGTAGGTTTATGAGTCTATTATATTGCATGCTAGTTGAATTGGTACCCCGTTGACCTAGGTGGTAGAAGTATGAATCCCTTAGGACTATTCTTAGTATGTGATGGATCACGCATAGGTTTTGTTATACGTTTTCTTCACCTTCCTAATGTGTAATGTGGGTTGCATGTGCTTGCTATGTGTTATGTGTGTGTGTTACCCCAATTCGGTTGCGATCGGATTGGTTATCCTGAGCTGCGGTTCAGAAACTGGCTGCGGTCAGATTGATACTCTTGGGCTGCGGTCCACCGTTTGGTTGCGATCAAACGTTTCTATACGAGCTGCGGTTCGTCCTTTTTCCTGGCTGCGGTCAGATGACATTCTCTTGGGCTGCGGTCCACTGTTTGGTTGCGATCAAACACTATGATGAGCTGCGGTTCATCGGTCGGTTGCGATCGACCCCTCCGTGTTGCGATACGGGGCAGGGTGCTGCGGGGCCGTGTCAGAGCTATATGCGCTGACCCTCATGTATGGGCATGCGATTGGTCCTGTGGCGCCAACAAAGTGTGTTATGTGCTGTGACATGGACGAGTTGTGATTACGAGTGTCTTGGGGGATGTGACTGTGGGATTTATATTGGGGATTGTTCATGTTGGGTTATGATCATTGTTTATGCTCTGCCTTATCTGCCTTATCTGTTGTGAACTGCATATGCTCGTTATAACTGTTGCTTGTGTCTGGCCTTATCTGTCGAGTCATTCCCGGTTCTATAGCTAGAGTTCGTAGGATATATCTTCATGCTCAAAATGGTTTTCGTATATCTATATATATCTCTATATGTATTGTATTTCAACGCGTTGGAGTGGGTTACCAGCATCTCTCGCTGAACAGATATATTTGGCTTTCAGGCACAGAAGATTAAGTCACTGGAGCGCGCTAGAACTGGGAGTATAGAAGCAGATAGTTTTCCCTTTTGGCCTGCGTGCCACGTTTACGTAATCACGCTTTGAGGATATTAGTTAGTTAGCCTGTGCACTTGGGTTCTCTAGCCCAGGTGTGGCATAGCACCCCGTACGCTTGTATTTATCTCTTGGGATTTAATGAGATTCTACCTTTATTATAAGTTTTAAAAAGTCTTGAAAATCTGAGGTGTTACATTAGGGGCTCGTAGACAGTCGGCCTCGCCCACTGAGAGACTTGTCCGTTTTTTATGTTCCTCAGGGGCTCGTATGCAACCAGCCTCGCCCACTGAGGGATTTGACAGTTTTGATGTTTCTCAGGGGCTAGTAGGCAGCCAGCCTCGTCCACTAAGGGACTTAGCAGTTTTGTTGTTCCTAGGGGACTAGCAGACGGTTAGCCTCACCCCGCGAAGGATGTGGCCACTATAGAGCCCAACCGAACAATGTGAGTGGTCAGCTGTATTCGGAAGATGAACAAGCATGGAAGAAAAAGAAAGAACCCGATAAACAAAAGGCCCGCTGGGCAAGTTTCACTAGTACAAAAAACATCAATAAAATCGACTAATTCGCGTCCAAATTTAGAATTTTGGACTCCTAAAGTGTAATGAGGTGGCATTTTTGTAATTAAAATGGCACTATATAAAGATTTTTTTTTAATTTTTAAACAGTATAGGCGTCCAAAGCTCTGTACGTTGGACGCCTATATTAAAAGCCTTCTATTATTCGCGTCCAAAGCTCAGTACTTTGGACACAAAAAATAGAATCCATTTAATCAAGCGCATCCAAAGTGGCTAACTTTGGACGCGCCTTATTAATTTTATCCACACAACCCTAGCATTAGATCAGATCCACGCACCACCTTCCACAACAGATCATATCGCAGCTCTCCATCCTCCACCGTACGCCGTCCATCGCTGTCGTCCGGCCCGTCCAGTCCATCGCTGAACACTTCCCCGCCGTTGCCGCCCCAGCTCCTCGCTGCTGACGCCCAAGCTCGTCGCCGCTCCCGCAGCCACGCACGCCGACCGCCGCTGCAGCTACGCACGCCGTCAGGGAGCAGTGGTACGTAATTTATATATATATATATATATATATATATATATATATATTTTATTTTTACTTTTATTATTTATTTCAAAAATCTGTATTTATTTTAATTATTTTTTGTTATTTGTTATTGTTGTTTATTTATTTTAAAATTTGTTGTGTATTATTGTATATTTGTTAGGCATTATTCTGATTTATAGTTTAATAGAAAAAATTGTGTATTCTCATAGTAGCACTATAATATTGTTTTTGAGAGCATGATGGATGGATAGATGCTTTATGAAATCTTGCATATTTGACCAACCATTATCTTATCTTATCTTTGTTTCTTCATGAAAAATTAATTATAATTTTTTTAATGAGATTTGTGTGGTATTGTATATGTATATAAAAATGTGTATGTGTATTATGTATTATTATTAGTTTAAATTAATTAATATAGGTAATATTTTAAATTTAAAATTATTTAGTTAAAGCTTTAATTTGAACCTTTGAGTTATAACTTAAGAAACTAACTCATTTATCATATCTTAAATGTTGTTTGACAATATATAGGAGATATGGATCGGAGTTGGATGTATAAAAAACGCAATACACTTGAATATGTTCATGGGTTTCAAGAGTTTATTAAAATTGCCGAGGAATATGCAAGTAAAATTGGTGAAAAGAATATAGTGTGCCCTTGTTATGATTGTAGAAATCTAAAAAAGTTTCGTACTTCTGAACAAATTAAGGAACATTTGATACATCGTGGTTTTAAGCTAGGATATGACCAGTGGATATGGCATGGTGAAACCGTCCCTACTAGTAACAGTACAAATCAAAGTGAATGTAGAAAAGATGTAGAGAATGATCAAAGTAATGAAGATAATGTTGGAAATGATGGAGACAATGATCAGCTAGATGAATTGATGTGTGATATGCAAGCGGATTTGAATGAAATGCCTCAAGAGTTTGAAAGTTTTTTTGAGAGTTCTGGAAAACCTTTGTTTTCTGGATGTAGAATTTAGAAAGTTATCAGCAGTGCTTAGATTGTATACCGTAAAAGAAAAAAATTGGTGGAGTGATAAGAGTTTCACGGAGTTATTAGAGCTTTTAAAGGGCATGCTTCCTAATGAGAATGAACTTCCTTGTTCAACTTATGAGGACAAGAAAATGTTATGTCCGTTGAGTATGGAGATTGAAAGGATCCATGCATGTCCAAACGATTGTATTTTGTATTGGAATCAATACAAAGACTTGCATGTGTGTCCGAAGTGTGGAGAATCGCGTTATAAATGAAAAGGGCTCGATGATGCATGTGAGCAGAAGAAAGGTCCTCCAGCGAAGTTGTTGTGGTATATACCAGTGATTCCAATATTCAAACGTTTGTTTGCAAATGCAAAGGATGCGAAGAATTTGCAATGGCATGCTAGTGGGAGAAAAGAAGATGGAAAGTTGAGACATCCTGCCGATTCTCCTCAGTGGAAGAACATTAATAAGAAGTTTCTTGATTTCGGTGTTGAAAATCGAAATCTTAGGCTTGGATTATGCACAGATAGAATGAATCCTCATGGTAACATGAGCAGTCGCCATAGCACTTGGCCAGTTCTTTTAACAGTTTACAATCTTCCTCCGTGGTTGTGTATGAAGCGCAAGTTCATCATGTTATCATTACTAATATTTGGTCCTAAACAACCAGGAAACGACATAGTTGTGTACTTGGCACCGCTTATTGAAGATTTAAAGATGTTGTGGAATGAAGGTGTGACAGTATTTGATGCTTATAGTCAAACCAACTTCACTTTACGAGCCATGCTGTTCTGCACAATCAATGACTTCCTAGCATATGGTAACTTGTCAGGGTATACTACTAAAGGGGCTAAGGCATGCCCTGTTTGTGAAGATGAAACAGTTGATCTTTGGTTGCACAACAGTAGGAAAAATGTGTTCATGAGTCACCAAACCTTTTTACCTATTGACCATCCTTATCGAAAGAGGAAAAAAGCTTTCAATGGAAAATCTAAGACTGGAGTTGCTCGCTTACCATTATCAGGGGATGTTGTTCATGAACGAGTAAAAAACATTGATAATGTGTGGGGAAAAACTTCAAAAACAAGTCAAAAGGGTATTTGGAAAAAGAGGTCTATATTATGGGATTTGCCATATTGGGAGCATTTATCTGTTCGACATTGTCTTGATGTAATGCATGTGGAGAAAAATATTTGTGATAGCATATCGGGACATTGTTGAATATTCAAGGGAAGATGAAAGATGGTATTAAAGCTAGAAAAGATATGGTAGACATGGGGATAAGGACTCAATTAGCACTACAAGAATCTGGAAAGAGGGCATACTTACCTCCAACTTGTTATACTTTGTCAAAAAAGGAAAAAACAAGTTTTTGTAGCTGTCTAAATGGTGTCAAGGTTCCTTCTGGCTATTCATCTAACATTAAAATCCTTGTTTCAATGAAGGACCTTAAATTGGTTGGTATGAAATCACATGATTGCCATGTGCTAATGAAACATATGTTACCTATTGCTATTAGAGGCATATTACCTAACCACGTTAGACAAGCCATTACAAAGCTTTGCTACTTTTTCAACGCCATTAGTAGTAAAGTTGTTGATCCTGAGGTGTTGGATTCTTTGCAAGCTGATGTGGTAGTAACTTTATGCCAGTTTGAAATGTATTTCTCCCCATCATTTTTTGATATTATGGTGCATTTAACAGTTCACTTGGTGTGGGAAATTAAAATGTGTGGTTCTGTATTCTTGAGGTATATGTATCTATTTGAGAGATACATGGGCATTTTGAAAGGATATGTGAGAAATCGATATCGGCCAAAAGGGAGTATAATTGAAGCTTACAGCGCTGAAGAAGTCATTGATTTCTGTACTGATTATTTTGCTAATGTTAAGTCCATTGGTGTTTCTAAATCACTTCATGAGGGAAGACTCACAGGAAAAGGTACCATTGGGTTTAAAACACATGTCCCAAGTCAAATAATCTAATCAAGCACATTATCTCGTTCTGTAGCAGCTTTCTGAGGTTCATCCATATTTGGAACAACACATGTCTATTGTAAGGCAACAAAATCCTTCTAAGGGTGAAGTGTGGGTGACAAAAGAACATAATTGTACATTTATCACATGGTTCAAAGAAACAGTAATGCAAGATTTATCTCAGGTGTCAAATAATATCAGTGAAACCATTAGGTGGTTAGCGTATGGCCCTGGGTTAGTTGTGAGCACTAATCAGGGATATGATATTAATGGGAATACGTTTTACACAAAACGTCAAGATCAAAAAAGTATGGTGCAAAATAGTAGAGTGACATTAGTAGCACTATCAAGAGAGTATTCTAGCGCTAAAGATACTAACCCGGTATGTAACACCCCGTGTTACGGCCTCTAACCCCGAACTAATTATTTAATTGATTCCGTTAATAATAATTAGAAAGGATTTAATTGGGTTAGGATTCCCTTTAATTAATTGATGTGGCCCACCATGGATCATGGACCCTTATCCTTAAAACCCAAATCCTTAATCCTTTGAGGAATAGGATAGGTGGATCCTTACTATTCAGACCCTAGCTGGGACTCCTAAATATATATATAGGGACTTAAGAAGCATTTAGAAACCCTACCACAGTTAATTCTACCACACAAGATATTCCCAGGAATCCCCCTGCCACCAAACGTAGGAGAACCCACGGGAAGAAGATCTTAGAGAAAGAACCTTAGTAGCCAAGGATATTGATTAAGGCTAAGAGGTAACCCATGTCTCGACAAAACCTATTTTCCTTGCTATATCTTATTCATTGGCTCCTTTGATATATGATTCTGTGCTTGAGTCTTGATAAAGCTTCGCATAGGATTTATATTGTGTTTATATGATAATCTTGATGTTTATGTGATAATCTTGATGTTTATGTGATGATCTTGATGTTCAAGATACTATGATTAATTATATGAATGATCTCGTATTTTGATTGTGTCTAGAGTCCTAGGGTTATATCGTGGAATTCGTATTATGATATTCTTGGTATGCTTGGGTGGGATTATGCGTGATCAGGTGATGAGTCTAGCCTAGGACTTGTGTTTAGGACTTGCATATAGATTTCTTGATGTTCTTGTGGTTCCGGATGCTCCTGAACCGTTATATGATTAATGTTAGGTCCTGGCATGTTTAGGAATCGTGTTTGAACGTATTGGTTGTGATTCTTGGTTTAATTCCGTTAATTAAATACGTTGTATTGTCGTTATGTGTTTGGACATGGTTTCGGGTTCCATAGGGGATCCCGAGACCATAAAGTTTCCAGTGTATCAATGGGGGGTAGGTGGGGGACTGACCACCCGCTGCCCGCATTTATTGTTCCAGCGGGAAGCCGGCGGGCGATGCTCTGCCTGCCGGCCACCCGTCGCCGGTGTGTGGTTGGCGGGTGGTCCCCCACCCGCCACCTACCCGCTGGAATCCCAGCGTGGTTCGTGGTGTTTTTCCCCATTTGATGTTTCCCCGTGTCCCGTTGTAGCCCGTTTGTCGTGTATGAGTCTCGTTTGGTGTTTTAGGCGTTGTTATAGGATTCTATGTGTGATACGTGTCGTTGTTGTTGTGTCTTGCTTGTTATGTGATTATGTGTTGATTGATTGATGATGATGAGTACCGTGGTCATTGCGCAATGGCCAGTGTAACTGATGATGATGATGATAATGATATTGATGAGATTCTGATTGGTGGAAAATAAACTGTTGGCGGTTGGCACCATGTGTGCCCGGTCATGGTATTAAAGGTACATTCCATAGCGGTGACTGTGCTAAAGGCACACACCCACCTTCGACTAGCTTGCCGTTGAGTTTTGGGTCAGGTTATAAGTGCTGCGGTGTCGTGTTAGAGCTATATGCGCTAACCCCTTGATATTGGCACTAGAGGTGCGGATAATTGAATGGCACTGCGGAACCATCTTGATATGTTGGTGGTTGAAAGGTGGGTTCGTCGGTGGGGTCATGTAGTTGCCCGAAAGCATAAGGGGTGGGGATAAAAGGGTGGCCTGGAGGTATAGGTTGGAACCGATATAAGGACGGAGGGGAGTTATACGGTTGGAACTTGGTATAAGGTTGGAGGATGGATTGTGTGCTTTGTTGACTACTTGCTAATTGATTGTATTAAATTCATTAGTTATTTGCATGCTTATCTGCATGTTATGTCTTGCATTGCATGGTTAGGATATCTATTAGTTCATATGTTTATCCTGTGATACTGAGTCTGTTATATGCCTTGAGACACCCACAACCACTGCCGACCACCCGGTCACAACCCGTCGAGAACCCGCTGTCTCCGCCCAGTCACCGGCCACCGAAGCAGAACAGCGTCACCGCCGCAGCACCACGCCAACCGCGAACCGCCCCCCTTCGTCACAGCTCCAGGCGGACGCCACGCCACGCCACGCCGTTACCGCCTGGGCCCCACCATCGACGCCCCTCATCGTGTCACGCCGTCGTCGGAATTCTCACCGAAAAAATCACCAGGAAGGCCACCCCAAACCGTAACCACTCCAAACGATGCCGAAAAAGCCCATTGGTACCCGAGCCCCAGAACGGAACGACGCCAACTACATGGTGATCGGAGGTAAAGCAATCGAACCCGACCAATTCTCTCTAGAGTTAGTTGATATGCTTAGATTCCAAGGCCTCTTGGATACCTATCTCGCAATTAAAGGGGATACGTACTCAGAGTTGGTAAAGGAGTTCTATTGTCATTTGGTAGCCACCAAACGGGGGGACAAGTTGGAGATCACCTCCAAGGTCCAGGGCAAGGAGATAGTGCTCTCCGATGGCCTCTTAGCTAAGCTCCTAGCTAAAATTAACCACCACGGGTGTATCAGACTGTGACCGGAAGGGTTGGGTCTGTACCCGAGACACGGGGTGTAACACCCCAGATTTTCAGGATGTTTGAAACTTATAAAATAAAGGTGAAATCTCATTAAATCCCAAAACATAATACAAGAGTATGGGGTGCTATGCCACACCTGAGCTAGAGAACTCAGGTGCACAGGCTAACAGACTAATATCCTCAAATAGTATCAGTACTAAATCATGGCACGCAGGCCGAAAGGGAAAAACTATCTAAGCTACGTCCAAGTTTCTAGCGCGCTCCAGTGATCTACTCGTCTATGCCTGAAAGCCAAATATATCTGTTCAGCGAGAGATGCTGGTAACCCACTCCAATGCGTTGAAATACATTACATATAGAGATATATATAGATATACGAAAACCATTTTGAAGCATGAAGATATATCCTACAAGACTCTAGCTTTTAAAACCGGGAATGACTCGACAGATAAGGCTAGACACAAGCAACAGTTATAACAAGCGTATACAATCCACAACAGGCAAGACAGATAAGGCTGAGCACAATTAATAATCATAACCCAACATAAACAATCCCCAGCATAAATCCCATAGTCACATCCCCCAATATACTCACAAACATAACTCATCCATATCTCATCACATAGCACACTTTGTTGGCGCCACAGGACCAATCGCATGCCCATACATGAGGGTCAGCGCATATAGCTCTGACACGGCCCCGCAGCACCCTGCCCCGTCTCACATTACGGAGGAGCCGATCGCAACCGACTAATGAACCGCAGTTCTATATAATATTTATATACCTGACCGGTCTCTACCAGCCTGGTTAACAGTTGGGATGGTTTTCAACCCATTCAACTGCCCGTATAGTGGACCTTTGTCCTATATAATATTTATATACCTGACCGGTCTTTACTAGCCTGGTTAACAGCCGGTATGGTTCTCAGCCCATCCGACTGCCCGTATAGTGGAACTTAGTCCTATATAATATTTATATACCTGACCGGTCTCTACCAGCCTGGTTAACAGCTGGTATGGTTCTCAGCCCACCCGACTGCCCGTATAGCCCGATTGATCTTAACCAATTCGGGGTTACATGCACACATAACACATAGCAAGCACATGCAACCCACATTAACACATTGGGAAGGGGGAGAAAACGTATAACAAAACCTATGCGTGATCCTTCACATACTAAGAATAGTCCTAAGGGGTTCATACTCCTTTCACCTAGGTCAGCGGGATACCAATTCAACTAGCATGCAATATATAAGACTCATACAACCTACGAACGGTACCCGAAACATCAAACTAGACATAGGCACGATAGACGGAGTCCGTTGGGACACCACGGGGGTCGGGGAAACATCAAACGGGGAAGTTGGGGTCCCGAGTGTGGGAATTTCCAGCTGCCCGCCCGCCGGCTGCCCGCTACCGGAACTGCCCTCTTTTGACCGTGGGTAGGTGGCGGGTCCCCTACCCCCACTTACCCCCCACTGACTCATTAACACCAAAAATGCCCCGGGAACCTTCGTGGAACCCGAGACCATGCTTGGACACTTTTAAACGCAATTAACAACACACGTAGACGATTTAACGGATCAAAATCAAGAATCAAACGGCACATAACCTATCATGCTTTTCTAGACCCTATAAACCCCCAATCATGTGAAATCCCACCCAATATACCAAGAATAATACCATACGAATTCCACGATATAACCTAGGGTTCTAATTACTTTTATAACAACAAGAATACGGTTCGCCTTCTAATTACAAGATTCGGTATAATTAACACATAAGCATCAAGATCGTCATACAATTATCAAGAACACCATATAATCATCAAGAACTCTACGTAATCATTAAGAACACCATAGTTATCAAGAATCTCCTAATATCAAGATCACCCATGGAATTATCCCATCAATCATCAATAATAATATCATAAAACATCAATACACAATAATATGGGGAAATCCTACGGGGGAAATCATAACTATGAAAATAGGTTTTGTTGAGACATGGGTTACCTCTTAGCCTTAATTAATTCCTTGGCTATGAAGGGTCTTTCTTTAAGCTTTCTTGCTTTCTTGATTTCTTCTAAGGGAATTCTTGGAGCTCTTTGGGTGGTGAGACGTTTTATTGTGGTGGGGGGTTCTAGGTGCCTCTTAAGTCCCCTATTTATATATTTAGCAGTCCTAGTTAAGAACTAATATTATGGGCTTGCTAATTCTATTCCTTTTGGGACTAAGGATTGGGTTTAGGGATAAGGGTCCATGGTCCATAGTGGACCACATTAATTAATTAAAGAGAATCCTAATCATAATCTGAATAGTAAAAGGCCTACTCCCTTTATTCCTAATAGGCCTAAGACTCTCATTTAGGCAAGGGTCCACGTTTCATGGTGGACCACATTAATTAATTAAAGGGAAACCTAACCGAATTAAATCATATTTAATTATTATTAATGGGATTAATTAAATAATTAATTCGGGATTGAAGGCCGTAACACGGGGTGTTACACTCTCCCCCCCTTACGAGAAGCTTCGTCCCCGAAGCTTAGAAATCATTGCGGGGGTAACGAGTCAAAGGTAGTACGGTGGTCCTATAGAGAAAGTATTCTGCGGGGAAACTGTATAATTGTATGTCTATGTGTGCTGGGTTTTTGGGAACGATTAGGTTTAAAGGGTTAAGAGAGTGGGTTTCAAACCTAAGGACAAAGTGAATTTAGGAATTAGGATCAAAGTTTTCAAGGTTGCAACTTAGGGTGTGAGGTTGCCACCTTGTATGGAATCGTTAAAATAGGGAATCAAGAATGTGGTTTGAAGGGTGGAAAGGGTTTTGAAATAAGGAGGGGGGCCGATTTCCCGAGGGAGGGAAAGGAATTCGGCTAGGATGGGTTAAGGGTTCTCGATTTTAAGTGACTATTCTGGTTTGATGCTTTGATCCCGACGTATTGACGAACTGATGATCCTTCTTCCTTGGTGTTGGCACTTGCTTGACTTTAAGATCCTTGTTAGACCTTGCTTCCCAGGCTAAAGTTTCATCCTTCTCTCCTATCTTGAGGGAATCTCCCGTGATGATTTAACACTTACTTCGTTAATGCGTCCAAGGTCTTGACCAAGTTTGGTCAACCAAGCCGATCTCTTAGGGCGCACTTCCCAAATTCTTCCAAAAGTCTCTTGGGAGTCGATAAGCTTTGGGTTGACTTTTTCTTATTGAATTTCATCTCTTCTTTAGTGAGTGAAATTCTTAGTAAGACTTCATGTCTTCTTCGAGGTTCGGCTTGTTGTGCCCTTTTGTGTTACTTTTAATGATGAAGGTGTCCTTGCATGCTCTTTTTCTTCTTGAAGCGCAGTTGGTTACCTAATCTCGTTGTGGAATGACTCGGTGAGTTTACGAGTCATCTCATTTCCTTGTGGGTCCTTAATGACCCTTGAGATCTTGGCACAAATGTGCTCTTTACTTTTTGCCTAGCACCACTGATGCGTAGTATATTTGCAAACAAATAATTCTCGGAGTACGAGTTATCGATCCACAGGGAAGTGGTTGTATCAAGCACTAGTTACTAACTTATTCATTAGAGCTAATCCTAACAATTACTTAGATGATTGATTGGCATAAAATAAATAAAATAAAATAGAGGTTCAGGATTTTGAAAACAATTAGAGAGAAGTTGAGATTCATGGGATTCAAGTATTTAATCACCTAGTGCCAATTATCGTTTGCAATATTTAGTTTGGAATTAAGATTTGTGTGTGAATGCAAAGTGGAATCGAATAACTCCCGTAATCTCTATTCCTAGTGAATTTCCACTCCCATGGCTTAAACACCCAATAAGATCAAAGATCAGCATTCAATTATTCCTAATTACTACCATCTCCCGATTGGCAACAATCTAGAATAAACTTCCCCTAATAAGTTCCCCTTTCCCAAGGACCAACCATTAGGTGCAATCGTGTGTGCCCTAATTTATGCCCCAACTCCCATTGGTGAAACAAACATGGCTATGAAGCTAGTAACTATGGCCATTAATTACAAGCATCAAACAATATTATCACGATTGCAACACAAGTATTAAACCCAAATAATAATATATTAAAGAAACTGAGAGCTCAGGCACATAGGTTCATAAACACTTTTACCCAAGAATCTCTAAAGAATTTAGCCAAGCATGACTAAATTATACATAGCAAATATAAATAAAGAATTACAAATCATCAAAAGAGTACAAGAATTAACCAGACGATTTTCCCAAATCTACCTAGTCTTCTTCTTGCTTTCCAAGACAACTTGTGGCTCTTGATTTCTCTCCTTCTTGTCTTCAAGAATCTCTGAATTCTCTCGGTCTCCGTCTCTTCGTCTTTTTAGGGTTGAGGAAGGAGGGATTTTATAGTGGGTACAAAGTTGAGATGAAATAGGAATCTTGTACCAAATTGGACTCAAATTCTAATTCCTATATTTAAATAAAGAAATTGTCGTCTTTAATGATATTTAGAATTTGGAAGATTCCTTGAATTGCAAACTTTTAATATGGAGATATGAGCCTTGAAGTCCGCGCAATTGATATTAGGAAAAGAAATCTCGCGCTTGTATTGAATTTTGCACAGCTGCGCCACTTTAGGCGTCTGTTTTTATATCCGCGCCACTTTAGGCGTCTGTTTTTATCCCAGAAACAGACGCATATTCGACGCGTCGAGAATTTTCTCGACGCGTCGAGTTTTCCTGTGCGCGAATTAATTAGCTACTGGAAAATTTCGACGTGTCGAGCCCTTGGCTCGACGCGTCGAGTCCACTGGGCCCCGAACTCATCCTTGAACTCCCCTTGGTCATATCTTTGACCTAAAATGGTTCAAAAACA